CGAAATTCCACTCTACGTCAACGATCGAAGACCAGCAATGCTACCAGACATGCCAAAAAGAACAAAATCAAATGAACCGGACATATGATGTCTTTTAATGACACTCGGTGGACCGGAGCTAACGGATTGGACACTGCTGGACGTCAAACACGAAACAGAAAGACTGCCGACGCGATGGTTGGACATGTTCAAGAAGTTCTTTGATGAAGTCATTCAAAGCGTTCCTCGTGTTCTTATTGCGATAAGAAGACACTGGTTAACCGCCCGCAAGGGCAAACGGAGACGACTGGATCACGCCCGTGTCAAGCGACGACCAACGGAAATACAGTATACTTATTGTTGAGGAAATTCGAAATTTTTTTCGAATATTCGAATTGAATATATTCGGAAATTGAAAACTTTGAAGATTTGACTTTCGAATTGTATTCGAAAATGAGATTTTGCAAATTTTCGACTTTTGAAATATATACGAAATCTCAGTACAAATACTCGACTTTTAGACTCATTCGCAGAATGATTTATTCGAATAGTCGAATAAATCATTCGAGGTCCAAAGTATATACAGGTGATAAAGTTGGACTGAGATACTGCCCAAGCGGCAGTGCAGATGGTACACTCACGCTCACGCCCGCTCGCAATAGCCTGCAAGTAATGCATATCGTCCCCCAGTACGTGATTTTGATTCGGGGACGATTCCACAGCCGCAAGTGCAACATATGCGCGCAGCTTAGGCAGCGTCTTACGATTAGTTAGGCCACCCGGGATATAATTCCACCTATCCTCAAAAGGTAAAGTAGAACGTAATTGCACACCTCAAATGATGCTTGGGATAGTGTAAGTCCATGACTACACGATTCGATTTTCAGATTACAATCCATGATTATACGACTCGATTTTCAGATTAAAATTTATGGTCTCTCTCTCAGGAGACGATGATAGCACACGACTATGACAAACATCTCAATGATCATAGAAGATTGTCATGTTGTAGCCATGTTCGTCAACGAACCCGGTTAATTCGCGAGACCGGGTTTTTCACCAATGCATCCAGTGGGTAGACTGAACTCACGGACTAGTATTTAAAGGCAGCGTCCGGGCAAAATGTCGAACAAAATTTTTTTTCGCTTAGGGACCCGTCATACTTCGCCGAAAAAAGCCCAAAGCGCCCAAAAGCCCAAAAGCGCCCAAAAAAGCCCAAAAGCGCCCAAAAAGCCCGAAAGAGCCAGAAAGAGCCGGAATGTAGAAACGAACTTTTGATAGAATTCTGACATTATTTTGTCGTGCGGACGACAGAAAATGACAAAAAGCTCGATTGCGAAGTCAACACACATGCCTTAGCGCCAAAACGTGCGAGAAGTGTTCCGGCCTTTTTTGGGCTTTTGGGCTTTTTTGGGCTTTTTGGGCTTTTTTGGGCTTTTTCGGGCTTCTTTGGGGTTTTTTCGGCGAAGTATGACGGGTCCTTACCTGGCCTTATTCTTCCCGTTGATTAAATGCAGCTTGCAGAGAACGAAGATGTCAAAAAAGGGCTTTTCCAGAAGCAGTTGGTTTTGAATAATGACGCTTGCCGCCGAGGTTAAAGGCAGTGTCCGGGCAAAATGGGGGTTCTGAGATTTCTCTGCCATGTGAAAGTAGCCCCCCTGAGACACAACATCGCGCAACTGCGAGCATAAAACGTTCGACCTAAAGCAAGAAAAACGATTGCAAATCGGGGAAACTTACGCCTTGGGGCGGGGTCCTCCGAGCTGTTTGAATTCCTGCCAGACGGCAGAGTACGTATGCCGCCACAGTTAAAAACCGTGCGCTCTTTGCAAACTCTGCGTCTTAGCCTGGCGGGGATCCCCAAATTTCGAAATGTGAGGACTTGGAAAATGCATGTTCTCGCCGTTTTCGCGCCTTCTGCTGTGGATTTTCGGATTCAGCGTTGCGGATAACCCCAGATAAGTTGATTTTTTAGAAGTCAAGTTTCTGCCCGGACACTGCCTTTAAGATGCAGAATCGCGTGCTCGACATACGTTCCCTGGCTATCTTGAAGGGGCGGGCACGTCGCCGGGGCGCTCCTGTCGCCACTTCCGAAGCGGTTTTCTCGCTTCAGAAGCAAAGTGGTGCAATGCCACTTGGGCAAAAGCTCCACCAGGGCGAGAACCCCTGTACGCTACAGTTTCGTTCTTGCCCGGACTCTGCCTTTAAAGGCAGTGGCTCGGCAAATCTCAACCTAGTCAAATTTGCGCTTACCTGGGGTTTTTCAATACGCTGATCCCGAAAATCCACTTTTAAAAGCTTGAAAACGGCAAGAATGAGCGTTTTTTAACGCCCTCCCTTTGATACTGGACGAGTGGAGCAAGGCCGATGACGCTAAATCGTGGCAGGACCCAATGGTTATAGCGTAGCGGCGGGCAGCCTCCAATGGTGAGAAGGGAATTGCCAACTCGTCCAGATGCGTGTAAGATTGGCCTGCGCGTTAAGTTCGAGAGCGATTTTCTCGGCAAGGAAAGCATGCTGTGCAGGATTGCACTGTTTTCATAGTTGGGCGATAAGGAACCTGTTGAAATCCCGAGTTGGACGCCTGTAACCTCTTTGCTCTAAGTAATAGTTACTATACAGCCGTCAACAGTGAAAAATGGGAGAAACGAAATTTGGTTGGCTTCTATTTCCATAGTTTGAAGATCTCAAGAAACAGGATTTCTGAGATGGGCAAAGAAAGAGAAGTGCTTTGCATTGAGTGCCAAAAGGGTTTCCAATTCAATTACGGAACAAAGTCAATCATGTTCGAAAATGACCATTTCACTCAGGTGACCCAATATTTGGAAACTTCATAATTCGCTCAAACTTCGTCCACAGTGGTCATTTGACATGTTAATTATGGATATATTATTTGCTATGCTTGGTAGGGCCTCCTTGTCATGCTGTGGTAGGTATACAACGACAAGTCAATACATTACTTGGCTTGTATTTTGCATAGTGGAGTTATCAGACAAACTGATTACAAAAAATGTTATCGCTGTTATCACTATCACTCCGAAGCCCTTCCTTTTTTAACTCCTCAGTATGATCCACAGGTGCGACGTGCCACACTCTACGTCTGATCCTGCCTATGACAGCGTCTCAACGGCCCTGTCCCGCCACGATTTCCTGCTTCGGTAAATCCGAGGATATGTTTGAAGCGATATTTTGCACTCGCAACCGGGCTACGCTGCATGGGCAGCCCGCTTCAGTGAACTGTTGAGAATGACTGCTTTCACAGCCCGGGCACTGCCTTCAAAGGCAGCGTTCCGGCAAATTTAAGGGCACCGGGATTTCACAGTGTTGCAAAGGTAGATCCCCAACCAATCTATCAGTGAAGTCTGGAGCGAAAAAAAGCGAGCCTGGAAAGCCCAAAATCCACTCCGAAAGTCTTCCGAACTCCGCCCACTCGTTCTGCACCCACCCACTTACATGTGTTTTGGAGCGAACGCGGACATGGAGAGCTTCGAGAAATGCTCTTTTTGCCATTTCCAAACGCTGAAAAACCCAAATATGGCTGCAGCATGGCGATAATACTCCGATGAGGTGAACAACCGGAGAACGAAGTTTTGTCGGGACACTGCCTCCAAGCACGAAAGAAAACCACTTATACTTTGCAACAGTTCTTCAAACATCGAAGTTGGCAGCAAAACTGTTGCGGGTACTAAAGACTCTTCGGCGTTTGGCCCGTATAAGGAGAATAGAAGTACACAAGTGTGGTGGTTCAGATGTATTGATGAAACGATAGAACGAGTAGCGAGAGCGTGTATTCGATGCTTGATCAGAAGAAAGAGTGAGAGGGGGGGGGTGCATGTCTTCGGCCACGCCTGTCCAAGCGTGTCCTGGGGCCGCGGCGGGGAGGGGTATCATCGGCACGATATAGGAGTTCTTGGTTTCGGCACGCAGTGATGGCGCGCGCCATCGCCCGCGCAACAGGTTAAGTATTACGCGGAGCCATGGGTAGATGAGTATATGTCAGCTAAAGGAGCAGTCCTCTTGGTCATTTGTATTGCGTACGCACCCTTGCGTTCCTGTCAGAAATCCGCGCGGGACCCTTCCAGCGACATATGGTCCTCCCCCCGCGTCCGATTGATGTATGCCGCGGAAGTGGGGGACATTAGGTCGCCGAAAAAGGGCGGTCCCCGCGGTTTTGTAACAAACACGCACCCTTGTACATGCGCGGACATGCGTTCCTGCAGTGAATCCGCGCGGGACTCTTCCAAATTCGGCGACCTAATGTCCTCCACCCATGCCGCGGCGATAAGCGGCAACTTCAAAATCAAACAAAAAGGGAAGCAATTGATGTTTTTGACACAAAGATGACATATCTTCGCAAAGGCAAGAAATGTGAATTTAGTTAGTCATTCGCAGTAAAGTTTATCTATCTAAATTACTTCACTGCGAATTACAGGCTTCAGTTTCGATAACGTCCATAGTCAAGTGAACTAGGAGCAACACAAACCATAAACGCGCATTTTCAATGAATAATGTAATCTAGTTGTCAAACTCAAGTCAAGATGCACTATAAATGTTTTGCCATTTTGAGAAGGGTCTTGTAATTTTGGCTGTTTTGCAAGAAACAGCCAGATGAGATATACACGATGAAAAAAGGAATAGGTAGTGAGAAGATAATAATTGTTCAACAACATTATCCGTGAGTAATCAGACTTTGAAGTGGTTTCCAAATGTCCTACCCAAAAAATGGAGAAAATATGTATGCAAGAAGTACTGTGCAGAGATATATACGGAAAAAACCGATAACATACCATAAATAGCACCGAAAAAGCATAAAAGCATATAGAAAGCGTGGTAGAACACCATTTAAACATCGGATTTTCATACAAGTGCAGAGTTTGGACGCGGAACGCCCTAGACATAATCGAAATGCAAACGGGGCATGCACGTTGTGCATCAGATGTGGAAAGGACAAGAGGGGGCCCGTCGCATGCGGCACCGCGTGCGGCGCGCTGCAAGCTGTCGCAAAATTCCCGGCCGCGGGAATGCTCGGCAATAGTTTTCATCCTTTTTCGTAGGACACAACAATTTTGTTTGCGTTCAAAAATACAGCGTTTCTTTTACAGAGAGCAGGCAATGACTGTGCAAAGTGCTGAACAACCCCGAATTTTTCGTCGGAACGATCCGGGCACCAAACGGGACGTAAGTGGTTTGCCGTTCATTTCTTTTTTCGTTTTAATTTATACCGATATAATCTCGCATTGCACACATGTGACGATTCTGCCATGGACAGATTGTTTTGTTAGGTTATCAAAAGATTCGCACAAAAGATTTTTCATCATCTCTGCGAGAAAATCAGTATGCTGACATCTCATACCAGTGCACTTCAATAATGCACCATTGTAATATTTATAAATAACTGTGAATGGCGCGGCAAATGGATTTGAATAGACTTGAATTTGCGCAGTAAACTACAGTATAGTTTCCTCCTCTAAAAGCATTGTCCGGGCAAAGTCGATTTTAAGATTTTGTACTTACCCGGGCTTGCTATGCTGAATCCGAAAACCCACACTGGAGAGCACGACTAAAGGAATCTGACGCAGGAGGGATATCAGCGGGGCGGAGTCTTTCCCACGGTGAATCCACGCTCCCAGCCTCCACAGCAATCTTCTCAATTCCGCTAGCCGCCCTGACATCATCACTGGCCAAGTGAACGTTTGACATGAAATCGAAACCGGCAAGATCGTTCCTGAAGGTGGGAGCGTAAATCCGCAATGGGGCCCGCCCACCTGATGATTTTCATCACCCTTAGAGCCCTTCTCCGTCGTTTTTGCGCTCTCCAGTTGGATTTTCGGATTCAGCATAGCGAATGGCTCGGGCAAGCATAAAATCTCATCGATTTTTGCCCGAACACTGCCTTTAATATCAAAGAGCATATGGTTTTCGCTCACAATTTGGAAACGTTAGCTATCTTCTGCGTCTATCGTATCTTCACATAGCTCCAAGATTTTTGACTTAGACACCCGTCGGACTTCACTCAAAAGTGCTCAAATTTCTTCACTCTCTTCATATTTCTCTTGTCTTTCCTCACACGTTTTGCGCTAGGCTAAAGGCGCGCGCCGTACTTGATCAGTTGATCCGCTTTATTCCCTTGGGTGTTGGTCAAATCAGTGAATGCCCACTTGATCCTCTTGATCCATTTGCTGTTGGTCAGTTCGCTAATTTGATTAAAGGCAGCGTCCAGGCAGATTCTCAACTTCTATATTTTTATGTTATCCAGGCCTTTCCATGGCGCTAATTCCGAATATGGAACTCAAAAAGCGTGAATTTCTCAGAAAACCACCTTTTGGGGCTATTTTGGGAAGACCCGGACGAGTGCTTCTGATGTTATCCTTGTCGAAAGCAAGTATTAACGGGTAAACGCTGTAAGTTCGACTGTGTTGGTCATGTGGAAACACGTCAAGGCTGAGGAGATTTCGTTCATAAGGGGTTGGCCGTCCGAGGGAAGTGGGCGTGGTCGTCGAGCTCGGATCTGTCTGGACGCTGCCTTTAATAGCGAAGTGGATGAAGCAAGCAATCAAGTGGATCAAGTATGGCGCATACCAAAAGCACCAGTACGCTAGCGCGGAAGGTGTGTGAGGAGTTATGAGATTTGAAGAGATTTCGAAGGAATTCGGGCGCTTTTGAGCGAAATGTGAAGGGTGCTATGATTTCTTTCAAAATAAATATAGCTGGAAAAACGAGTTTTCGGCTGCACACATCTAGGCTGTTTACAGTATGTCCCTGTTGGGTCGAATCCCATATGATGCACACGCATCGTCGTGGCTTGCGTCACGGCGCTGCTATATCCAATGCTGCTTACGCGGAGCGGCAAATGTTAGTTTAGGCATCTTTCAAACCTCCCTGTTATCCGCCAATACCCGTCCGAAGCCCTCCGAACCCGCCGGAACACGACAGAATCTGGCTAAATGAAGAGATATTCTGGAAATTAACACCTCAAAACACTGAATACTGCGCTGTGAGCACATATCAGTCACAAGTAACTCAGCGGCTTATCACTTCTTTTCCCTCATTTGGCAGGTTTGTTGGTTGCGGCAGACTCGGACGGGTTCAGGTTTGTGGCTACCGGCGGCTACCGGCTCGGTCTGACCGCCTTAGGCTGGGCAAACCTCACGCGATTTGGCAATACTCCAGTTGTTCATAACTCATCATAAGGGGTTTTTATGTTATGAAGATAGGGCATTTTATCAACCCTCAAAAGTTATACATACATGCTGTGCATTTGGGGTCTGCCATTGAATTTGAAGACCTCTGGCAATTTGCCACATCTTGTGGCGACTGAAAGCGCGTGATGTGTACAGGGCTTTTCAACCTGAGAGTCGCAAGTTTCGCTTGCGCGGCTCCTCCAACGCGGCCGCCTCGCTCAGGCCGCGCGCGGCGTTTGCTGCGCATCGCCCGGATTTCGCCAAGCTTCAGTCGACGCGCAGCCAGCGCCACGAACGCTGCGCGGGCCTAAGCGTGGCGGCCTAGCGGGGCGGGTGGGAATCTCAGGTTGTAAAGCCCTGTAAATGCCTACGGCCTTAGCGGTAATTTGCTAGCGTTGTTTCCATGTCGTCTGTACAGGGCTTATAAATTGCATGTGTTATGCACCAGCATCTCCACTCCCACGCTGAACTCTGCGTATCTTCCGCCAACATGCTCTTCAAAATTTCCCAATCGGTTAAGGCTTCGCCTTTTCCACCTCGCCCTGGGAAAGTGATCAGAGAGCATGTTCGCGAAAAGGATGCAGAGTCTAGGCGAAGCGGCCGTGCGGGAGCGAAGATGCTGGTGCACTCGAAGTTGACTGAAGTTTATAAGCGCTGTATCTTGCTCACGCGATTGCAGTGGGCAAGGCGCTTCCAAGCGGCGCGGTTTGGACAGCGAGAAAACACTGTTGGAGATGGTGCGACCATGTACAAATGCACTGTGCTAAGAACGTGTCCAAGATGCGAGACAGCAGAAAGCGGTGCACACAGCACCACCACTTTTAAGCTTTATAGGACTGGTGCAAATGGCCACCAATGGCGTTCGATGACATGGATTCCACATTGAATGTGCAGCAGTACATACAGCAGACTATTCAGCAAAATCCCGCTGACATTGGTGAATCACTGTGAATAGACTATTCCGATTAACTTAACTGTTGTAGACCTCATTCTCACGCCGCCTCCCGATCTTGATGACGGCGTTTGGAAGTATGAACATCTACGCCAGTTTTGTCTCCAGCTCAATGGTTTGGCTTTCATGCTGCAAGTAAGCTACTGAACATCAATATTGAGAAAGGTGCATAGAGCTTGATAATGCCTGCTGGTGCAGGGGTAAGGTTTCTTCTTTGATACGAAATGAGCAGAATGAAATGATTGTTTATTGTCTTGTAGTATGTATCTCTCGTATGCCGGCTAGGTCAGTAGGGTCCATCTCGGTTGGTTGTCGGCGGTATACATTTATAGCAATGAAATCAATCTTAGTAGTCAGGGGAGGCAGACTGCTTAAAATATGCTGATGGGGGCTCGCCCGGAGAAATTTGCACGAGATCATGCATTTGTTCTTGTGCAGGAGGAATGCAATCCGGAAACTTGCATACAAATGACTGCGACTGAACAATGGATCTTTCTTTGTGCTGCCCACAAAAACCCCAAAGAGGTGAGCATCTCACAAGTTTTACATCGTCGTGCTTTGCCTGAGTCGCATTCCAATTTGAATTAGCATATCCTGAAATTTAGTGCTCTGCCATCGACTACACGAGGCACACACTCGATGGTGCAGCTTCACTACTTAATAGCAACAAATATTTTCCGAGTAGGATCAATATCAAGGTTCAGTACGCTTTCATTTTGTAAGCACACACCATCTTGTAATGCTTGTAGGAGTCTTCGTTGTCAAAACTAGGATCTGTTTGCCGGCGCGTTTATCGAATCTTCTCTCACGCATATTTCCATCACAGGCAACTATTCGATGAATTCGAGAACAGCACACATCTTTGCAAACGGTAATTCGTTTTTGATTTCGTAATTGAAAGATTTCTTTTCAAGAAGTCACTACGTTTTCAGCTTCACAACTTATGTAACGAAATACAACTTGATGGCACAGGAGCACCTCATCGTTCCAATTCTTTCAAATCAGCAGTCATAATATGAATCTCTTACTTTTATCGCCCTTCACCTAACATGGAGTTCAATCCTGTTTCTTTGTCATTAATACGAGTTTTTTCACTGATTTTCTAGAATTTTGTCAAATGCAGCTTTTTCATCCGGAACTAATATACTTCTTGACCTCCAAATCTGTAAGATTCAATTTGAGAGTGTCGGTCTACAGCTTCCATGTTGATAACGAGTATAAATTGATTGGAGTGACAATGTATGATGTGAAATTGTCTAAGACTTGGGTAGACTTCCTCGTCTCGCGTTAATCTTTTATTTCTCCTTTCTTTTGGAAAAAGGGTTAGTTTAGCTACCTTTTTCTATTTTTGGTTGGTTTTTGAAAGGCTGAATTACGTAGCTATGAAAGCTATACTTACCTGCCAGCATACCTTCGATACATAGAGCCATGTACTCTGGTAACCTTCACTTTGAGCGTCATGATAGAACACAACCTTCACCTGGGGAGAAGTACAGAAGTCATCCGGGGCGAAGCCCCGGAAATTATGATATAACTAATGACATAACCGTATAGGGATGAATTTAAATGAGGCAAATATAGCAGTGACATTCAAAAGAAGCTCAAAAAACCGAAGGATTGCGTTTTTATGGCCTTTTTTGTTGAGAAAAAAGTTTTTATTCAAAAACTCAATCAAAAACTAGGGCAAAATTTCTCAATTAACCTTTCTCTGAACTGCGGTTGAATGTTGGAAGTTCATTAAAGCCGCTAAAGTTCAATAAAAACGAAAAACTGCGCTCAAATCTTGCGCGAAGAGTCGCCATATGAATGCTGGTCTATCTCGTTATGAAGTGATTTTCAAGACCCGCGACGTTGTCAGTGCTCCTGGCCGTCTCATGAGGATCACAACGATATATAATTTTGCAGCGTTTCGTTGAGACCCTGCGAAGATCCACGACCAGAGCCAAATGCCCCGTCGGCTCTGGTCTGTCTCCGCTGCTCGTCTGCGTCTCCGCGCGCTGCGCGCTACCTCGCTACCTCAATGCATTTGGCTCTGGTACCCTTTTCTTCGTTGTTCGGAGCCCAGTTTCGATAATCTATATATCATATTGAAGCTCTTGATCTCTATTTTCACGCTGACAACGTCGGAAGACTCCTTTTTAAGATTTGAGCGAGAAGTCCTCGAAAAACGGCTTTTTCGAAAACCTCTTGTTTTTTCTCTAGTTTAACTTTTTTCATTCGGTTTTTTTGTACATTCGATAGGTCTTGTTTCTGTCTATGATGTAGACAACTCGCCGAGCTTACTTCTTTGCTTATGCCGGTTTTTTTGTGAAAAATACAAAAAAGTGCGTTTTTCTTTACCTTGTTCTCTTTCTGTGCTTTTGCAGCGAATTTTTTCCAGCTTAGACGATACTTGCTTAGAATGATGAGCGGAAGAATCCAGACAACGTCGCAGCGTACGAAACGACTATGCGGGGGTGAAAATTTAAAGGACGCATCAAAAATCAGATTGGCGTCGATGTGCAACACAACTTTGCAGACATGTTTAACATGTTCAATTCAGTTGTTGACAAGTTCTTCTTCTTTCGGTCTCCCAACTATTGCCACAGCTAAACAGCGCTTTTTTTTGACTGGAAAAGAACTTTGTTCCTGTTGCCACCCAATTTTACCTGCAATCGTGGAGACGAAACTCTGCGTAGGAAACCAACAAGTTAAGGTTTCAGATTTGGTGATGTGCTAACCTCTGCTTTATATGAATTTTCTAAGTTTCTAATTTAATTTGTATCTCTAAATTTCGCCTATTTTTCTGAAACAACCTTCACTTTTTATAGGGAGCAAGAACTCAAACAACTATCACTTTCTAGCCCTTGTCTCTTGACTATCGAAGGTATGCCTGTCAGTGGCGTACCCAGGATTTCCGCTGAGGGGGGGGGGACAAAAAATTTTTTCAAATGAAGGTGCGTGGCGCTAGCCACGCACTCCGAAAATTTTTAGGGGTGCTTCTCAGAATTTTTGCGGGTCCCCAACCCCTAAAATTTGGAAAAAGGGGGCGTGCGTCAGCCACGTTCCCAAAAAATTTTTTTACAAGGCTATTTTGAATTTTTAAAAATTTTCAAAAATCATTTTAATTATTTACAAGTATAAACAAGTCATTTGCACATTTTTATAACCCTTATAAGTAACTTTCAAAAATTTCGCGACCCATTCTCGGGGGGGGGGGGGCGAGAATGGATCGCGAAATACGCCACTGTTACCTGGATAACAGGGTGCGGCAAAAGTCTGGGAGCCTAACTTTGCAGTACTGCAATTACAAAGATACTGATGGTTTTGATTTTAATTTTATGCCACATGATGCTGCGGCCATCCTCTATAGAATACACTGTATTTGGCTGGAAATGGCTGCCATATGTTTTTGTAAGAATGGAAATTACCAAATTAGTACTTTTGCAAAGCGAAAAAACCAGAATTTTTGGTATTTACAACTTTTGCTGTAACTAGAGATACTGTTAATATTTTACAAAACTTCGCTGCACTCAACATAGAAGAGGCTTTGCGCTATTGTATTTTAGTGTTGCTTTTGCCAGGAGCTGTTCTTGCATGAACGGAAAATAAAAGTTGGCGAATGTTACCTACGTGCCAGTGGAAATCCGTCTTCAGAACAAATTTAAAAGCTATAGAATGCTCAACAGGCACTGAAACCAAGGCTGTATTTATTGCATACGTCTTCTAAATTAGAATATATTGAAATTCGGCCATGGGAACACTTTTTGTACTTTTTAAACGATATTTTTAAGTTTTTATTCGCGCAATTGTAGCCAAAATTCCGGTATGCGACGTATACGTGCTTCTAATTGAAAATCCGATATTTTTATCCCCAAGCAATGCAAAAAATTCTTTTGGAAGTATGTTGTAGACAAAAGTTTGCTCTATCACGCTGCGCATTTGCCAAGGTTTGGCCAAAAGAGGCAGTTTTGCAAGTCAAGAACTGGGCAGTATCTGCAATGGTTCGAATTATGTGTGCGCCAAATTTTCCGTTTCTAGGTACTTCCCTTCTCGTTTTGTACGAAAAAGTACTAGGCTCCCAGACTTTTGCCGCACCCTGTATATAGGCTGCTGCATGACGAAGGCGGAGGGACTGTAGATCCGCCCTTAGCTGGGGATCCCTCGACTGGAGCATGGATCTTGTCTGGAGCGCACACATACTCCTCGTCTTTTTCTGGAATCTTGGCAAGCAGATCTTGCTACAAACTCTCAAGAACTTTCATTTGCACTCCCTTGCCCCTCTCAAGGTGCAGTTTTGGATACAAACTCTAAAAACACAGTTTCCTTTAACTTAACGGGTATTAGCAACTGCGGCAACTTTACACTTCGCTTAATTTGTCTTGGAATCAAAGCCATCTAAACGCTGAGCTGGCTATTCTTTAGAATAACTTAACCGAACGGTCTTGTTCGGCTGAAAGGCGTGAAGATCGTTGAGATGTATCATTCATTCTCTGACTAGGAGATGCGGGAACGCTTTGCGTACATTTCATTGAAAGTTCATGGATAAGCTTCAACTCGTTTTGATCGATTCACTATCAGAATTCGTGGAAGAACATGTTTGAGCTCGTTAATCCACGCTGGCTTGAACACGTTCTTTCACGGATTTCTAATGGTAATTAACCAAAACGAGTTGAAAACTCATTCATGAACTTGTTGATGAAATGTACGCGAAGCGTGTTCGCGTCTCTTAGTTAGAGAATAAGTGATACCTAGCCTTAGTAGTCTTGAATAAAATTATGCCCGAGTTAGCGCTGGGATCACCGGCACAGCACTGCAAAACTTGCTGGAAGTAACCCGACATTTTGTGATACGAGTTTTTCCAGTACACATGAGATCTGACCAGTCCATTTTCAGCAATCGGTTGTGAAAACGTTACAAATTTGCTCAAAACTTTGACAAGGGGTTTCTTTAATATGTCAACATGGAATACCCTGTTTTTTCTGCGTTTTAGTATCTTCTCACAGAGTTACATGGGTGTACGGGCAATCAAAATCGAAATCTGCCTGCAGTCTTGGGCATGAGGGGGTTTCTGACGGGCTAATCACATAGACCGCGTCGATTTCGCATGATAGGTCTTTTGATACTTTGCCAGTGTGCTGGCCCCAAATGAGAATCTCCGATTTCGCTGAAATCTGGTGTAGGAAGGAGATTATCTAGCACGCTGCTCACGAATAAGATATTCGTCATTACGCTAGCACCTTATTGTGGGTTATGGTGGGTATACGCATAAGGACGAAATCTCGGATTTCGCTGAAGCTTCATCCAAAAGGGTCATTTGACACGCTGATCACAAAAATCATGCACTTTTTGCACAGCGAGCCTGGTGGAGTTGCAATAGGTGCGGTGAGGGGCAATTACGAACTTGGCTGAAATTCGGTCTATGGTTACGATAAAGCTACATAGAGACCCTTTTTTGGATTTTAGACCAGTTTAGATCTCAAAAATCCATAAGGCCTTATTATGCGAGATGAGTGCAGTAGTGATTAGAAGGTCAGACAACCTCTCTCCACACCATTCGACCGGTTGCCGCATATCCTACCATAATCACTGCTAGAAGGTCGTTCATCAAAATCAAAAGCGAAAAAGTAACGATATTAGTGTTCAGCATGTCGACTAATCGCTCTCACCCAGACCTGGGATTCGGCTCCCATGCCGCATCCTCACCATAACTCCACAATAAGGCGTTACCATCTTATATATAAAGCTGAATGTCTGTTTGTCTGTCTGTCTGTCTGTATGTACATATGTCTGTGTGTACGTATGTTCCGAATAGAAAATTCCATTTCTGAACCGATCCGGACCAAACTTGGCACACATACACTTCGGGCCCCGGCGGGTGTCATAGGCTACTTTCCGTATCGATCGATATCGATTTTATCGATTTTTATCGATTTTTTGCAGAGTTCACCTACGGGGCTGGGAATTGGCACAGGGGGGTAATCGAGCATGCTGATTACGAATACAATATTAGTTTTTGAAATCGTGCATTACTTTTATCGATTTTATCGTTTTTGCAAAGTTTGAGCTACGGGGCTGGGATTTGGCACAGGGGGGTAATCGAGCATGCTGATTACGAATACAATATTAGTTTTTGGAATTGTGCA